CAACGAGGTTACTGTAACCTATGCACTGTAACCACCTGTTTCTAATGTCTTTATTTGCCGGTAACTGATGCAATCTAACGTCCTGTCGTAAACTATTGCACTCTGAAACACAACACTTTCGAAACATTTTCCGAAATTTCACCCTGATATTGCTTTATTTGTGGATTTAAAGATGATCGAAGCAAGCACTTTTATCAACACGAAATAAGCAATGACGGGTGAGTAGCGTTGCCAACTCAACTACTTCAAAATATGCTAGACTGGTGTAAAAAATATGCCAAAAATATGCTTACCTTCTCTAAAAAATGCCAAAAAAAATGCCAACATAATTAAGAAGTATCAGTATTTATTGAGAAATTAAATCAAGGGAATAGAATATTAAGGTCTTCATCTTCATCAACATCAGCTGATGTGGAAGGCTGAGAGCCGGAGTCGTAATACTCTTTGGTTCCGATACTGCGTAGTACATTGTCTGGAACAGTGTAAGAGTAACAGCACTTTCCTGCTCTTTTTAGGCCGAACCTAACGTACAAAATGGCATTCAGGGTTCTCACCGCCAAACGGTTTCGGAGTTTTGTTTTTACCAGACTCATTTGGCTGAATACACGTTCAACGTCCGCATTTGAATGTGGCAATGATATAAGAGACATTGCAAACTCACATAACTCTGCAAAGGGGTTATTATCAGCTGCATCTTTATATTGCATGACTTCATTCCAGAACTTTACTGTGGAAGTCAAGGATTCCCATTTAATGTGAACTATATTTCTCCATTGAGATACCAGTTTTTCAATCATAGGTGCATTAACTCGGAACTCTTGGGCTATTTCGACAATGGATGGCTTAACTACTTTTAAAGTCTCTTGAACTGAAAACATGGATATCTTCTGAAGTATTTTAAAATTAACCGGTAATCTCGAACGTAGTTCTGTCACAAGTTTCAGTGTGAAATTATTACAACGTTGGCGTAAATAGTTTGCTGCATTAGGCTGAAGATTGTATTCAAGTAATTTGGTCTCAAAAGCATATCCCATGTATGGTTTCGGATCTAAATAGCTTTCTATGTCTTCTGTTAAAATATCTACCCTTGCCGTTGGGTTCAGAATACGCCGACCTATCGATTCCACTAAGCCAATCAAATCATTGTACAATCTTGTTGGGTCAACATCGTTACTTTCAAACAACTTGTTTACCACTTGAACTTCCTGTAAGATAGGTCTTATGTATAATAAGTACAAATGATTCTGTGGATCATTATACATGTTATATAGTATTTCTGCCGTATAGCAGTGTTCATCTCGCCTGGCAATTTCAAACAGGGTTTTTAATTCTATCCATTGATCAAGAATACGGCAGACCGCTGGTTCAATTGATATCCATCGGGTATTGCACATCTGTGGAATTGTCAATGGAACGGAGCCACCGTTGATCGTTTGAAACATGTTTTTGTAAAAGAGTCTTCGGTTTGATGAATGGCTAAACCAGTTATAGGTTTCTCTTATAAGAAATTCAACATTTCTTGGTAGGGTTTCTGCTGAAGCATGAGACATAGCCAACTGTAACGAATGACACACGCAGCGGACTAACACTAAATTGTCATTACCAGTTGCATTTTTCAACAATGCGTGCACTCCACTGTTAGTTCCTGTCATGACCGAAGCGTTATCCGTGCCGATACCGATCAATTTCTTTAAATTTATTTTTATTTCTGCCAACAATCCTTTAATGCCGTTCACTATGCTGACTGCAGTTCCGTCTTCAATCTCAACTAATCCCAAGAATGTGGAAATTATCTTTTTTAATGATCGGCTGAAATATCTTATCGAAACACCAAGCATTTTAAGTACCAATATATCTGTCGATTCATCGATTAAGAGACTGTACTCCTGATCTCCTAAATCTGTCACAATTTCTTGAATGAAGTGTGGTGCCAAAACATTTTTAATAATATTCGTGCATTTGGTTCGATGTAACTTGATGTCGCTGTATTTGCTGTCGACAAATCGGTATTTGCATAGTTCCGATAAATGATCTACAGCCATAATTGCACAGTGCTCGCAAACAAACAAAGCCAGCGAAGATTCTGCTTTCTGGGTATTCAGATCTTTTTTTACTTTAGGGAAGTTAATTTTTTTTTGACTCTTCATTGGCTCTATTGCTTTTCTGTGCTTTGCTGATGAAATATGTAGCCTCAAAACAGACAATTTTGCAATCATTTCGCATTTACAATACTTACAGTACGCTTTCGAAGTATCGTTTTCAACGGGCTGCAACCACTCTTTAAAGTCTGCCATTTTCTCCCAGTCTGCCCGGTAATGTTGACTATACTTAGGCACCATAATAAAAATATCAAATTATAAAAAAGGAACACGAAAACACGGATAAGACGAGACGACGATATGAGTGAGTCCACATCCACAACAATAAACAATGTTTTTGACAGAAAGCGACGTAGGCGCTGGGGAATGGATAATAGTAAGGGAATTCTATCCCATAGACATCACCCTCACAAAACTGACCACCCTCTAGAAAGAGACAAAGTGAATACGCGGCCAATACATGTGTATTTTCTGCAAGGCGCAGGTAAGGCGTAGAAAGAGACAATAACTGGCGGCACATTCGCTTTGTCTCTCTTGTACTTCGTCCATATTTACTTTATACCTGAATAAGGGCTCAGTCCATTCTCTATGTCTAAGGGGAATCCCGTAGCACAGAGAATATTATATTCGCTTCAAAAAAGGGTTGCCATGCTAGTGAATCACTAGTAGTGAAGTGGGAAATTGATTGAGGTAGGTATCGATATCAAATTTTATTTCAAGAAAGATTGTAATTTACATTCTTTTCATGTTTTATAAGAATATGCTGAAATAATATGCTATATGCTAAAAGCAAAAAAAATATGCTAAACAAGAAGAAAATATGTCAAATTTAGCATATAATATGCTAAATTGGCAACACTACGGGTGAGTGACATTGACATTACAAAATGGCGCGCTTTGAGTTTGCGGGGGTGAAGTAGGCTAAAGAGAGGCGCGGAACGTCAGATTCAATTCTTGCAATGTCATTCTATACGAACCATTATTTTTGTTAGGACATTACCTGGCGTGATAAAATGGCGCGGGCGACGGGCGACCGAACCGAACGAATGACAACACGGTGAGAGGCAGTGTTGCCATACAGCCGAGACTAAAAATCCGGTCATCTAACAAAAAAATCCGTACAAAGTCCGTACGCATAGAAAAAGTTAAAAATACTGAAAGAAATCTGTATAAAATAAAGTAAAAATACTAACATTTTTGTTTATGTACGTCTTTATTAATTTTTTAATGTTTTCTGCACTAATTTCAAATTTAAAACAGGGTGTATCAATTGTTTTGTATGAAGAAGACCTTCGATAGTCTCAGTTGAAAGTTGGTTTCGTAATTTAATTAGGTTTTCATCAATAGGAGAATAATGCAGATGAACTTCGCACTTATATCCCGTCCAGAATCAAGAGAGAATTTTCACTATAAGAAAACCACCATTTAGTATGGCAAAAATGCTCTCTTGATTCTGGACGGGGTATAGTGCTTAGTAAAATAATGTAGATTAAATAATAAATTACTATTTTTAATTACGAATTAATGGTTGTGCGTGCGTGTAGCTTTCTAAAATATTGAAACTTATCGGTAGATAGGAAATCCGTACGCATATCCGCACGCAACTTTTATCCGTACAGCATGTCCAATTTCCGTACGCGTACGGAGTACGGACAAATCCGTACATATGGCAACACTGGTGAGAATAGAGAAGTTCGCCTTTTTACCCTCCCCGCGCCCCGCTCTTCCCGCCATCCATACTTTCGTAAACGCTCGGCCGTCTACTTTCAAGTAATGATATTGAAAATGAATAATGATTATTCATTTTCATATACCTAGTACTCACTGTTTTATTTCTTTACACCTTTGGTTGCCTGGAAGAGATCGCTATGTAGTGATAAGGCCGCCAAATTGTACATGTAATCTGCTCTCTGTTATGTTCTTTGTAAATTTGTTTGTGGTGTGCAATAAAGTATATTCATTCATTATTAATCTTAATGCGTATTAATATTTTAATATAATGATGATTTTTGCTATAGTTTCTTCACTTGTGGCAACCAAAGTTTTTTGTGGTATTCTATAGGAAGATGCTGCTCATCTCCTGGTATTTTTATTTTACTCTGTCGACTTTTACGACACCATACGGGACGGAACGGAATGGCAATTCACGGAAGGGCTCTGTAATATTTTACATTATATATTTAATTTAGGAGCCCTATGTTCGGCAGTGGACTGTTGTAATGATGATGAATAATGATCACTAAAAATTGTAATTTTTGTTGCTTATTTGAACTATTTCTATTTTACTGTGTGCTTTATTATCTGTTATATATTATGTTATATGTGTAATTTATAAATAAACGCCAAGCAAAGTTGAATTTATTGCTCTGACACCCTTTTTTATCTCTTTTAATTGACAATATCCTTCTGATTTCTAACAATATTATAAACGGGCAAAACATTATATTTTAATGATGTATGAGATTTATACTTGCTAATAGATGAATACTTTGACGAATAAAGAGCCCGCACTGCACCTGTCTACTGTGTTATTTTTAAGAGAGGACTCATAAAACGCTAACTATTTTCACCATAATGAATGCAGTGATTTTGAATGAAGTTATTTTGAAAAAAAATCTTTTGATATGATCTTTTGATATGAAAACACGAAAACAAAAATCAAAAATCACAAAATTACGGAGCATGAAAATTAGCTCATTAAAAATGAAATGAAAATTTGTACATTATTCAACTATTTTCATCTACTTGTACTCATAAACAGCTAACTTCGCAGTCACTACTCACCGACGTCAGCGCCGCTATGAATTCTACAATTTTCAAGGACAGGCGGGCTATGCTTTAGTACGTAGTGATCATTCTCCTGTTCTCTAACTTTCATGGTTTGTATGGTACGCTATAAGCATGGTGGTGTGTGTGTGGCATGGCACGGCGACGGGCAAGTACCATGCGGGCGTGCTGTCCAGCTGCGCGGCGCTGGAGCGGCGATGCGTGCGCGCCGGCCTGCGCTGCGGCGAGCTAGCGCACGCGCTGCCATTCGCGCCCGAGCAGCACTTCACCGAGTTCTCTAGCGTCGTCGCAGACATGAAGAACAGCGTCGCGGTTAGTGCTCTGGTTTTTTTTTCTTTTTGTTGTGGTCTTGGACGGTTGCACTTTTACCATATCTCCATTCACAGACTAATATGATACTTACGTATCAGACAGGGCACTCCCATAGAACAAAAGTGAACTCGTCTAAGCTCACATATCATGTATGACAAGCTGTCTTTCACAGCTTTTTTTTTTAATTTGCCATAGTCATGATCAAAGCGTGGCACGATACAGCCTATTTTTATAGGACCTAAATAAAAATAATCATTTTTATCTGTTGTTCTAATTAAATTATACGAATTCTTAAATAATGATTAGATGGACTCGATTCGAGCTTGTTAGAAGGGGAATGTATAAGAAAAAAACACTGTGTTATTTAAACATTTTTTTATTTCTTAATTTTGTTTTAAATTTATTAAAAGCTTTTGAGGCAAAGCTTTGTTTTCTAATCTTAGGACATCTGTACCTTTCAATATTTTATTTATGACATTGCACCAATTAAACACTGTCAATCTTAAGGTTAATGTTAAAAAGTGCTCAGAAACAGCATCCTTATGTAGTTCGCAGTTTATAAAGTCAAACAAATACTTAGATTTGATGAAAGTTTTTATATTTTTTATAATATATCTCTGTTGAGGTTTATTTTCTAAGTATTTGTTTGCTTCTTGTGTTACTATCTCAAAAAATCTCACGGCATGTTCCGAAGGGTAGATCAATTTGTTTTCTTTTATACTTTTAAATTCTTTAAGGTAAATCCAATTATTGATAGAATTTTTATCATAATTGGATTCCCTATTTGTTAAATCAGCTTCACATTGCCGACAATTTTTTTTTAGTATATTTCTTATGACCCACCCAGCGGTATATGCACGTGAGTGAACATTTATTTTTTCCTGCTTTGCTGAACTTTCACTTTCTACCCAACTCGATAGCTCAGAGGACACAAATGAATGGATTTGCTCAGTATTATCACATTTTTCTTTTGTACAAAATAATGATTTTAATTTTAATAATTGTTCACCAGAATCCTCTTCACAATTATAACTATCTGAGTGGAACTTTATAAACCTTGTAATTAACAGTGATCTAAAGGTGCTTTTGAATGTTTGGCAATTTGGATTCGTATTTCTAAAATTGTACGCACGCATTTGTCCAAAAAAAGTTTTCAATAGGATCAGAATTTAAATACCGCGGGCGCAAAACTTTAATATTTTTTGCACTTAGATATTGCCATAATCTCTGGTAACTTTTGAGAGTTGTTATCCAGTTTTTTAATGAAGGCACAGATGTTTCTTTACCTTGATTATCTATAAATTTTATGCTTTGCAGTTTTAGGATTGCTTCCCTCCAAAATTTGTGATGTGAGGATTTTTCCGTTACTGCCTGTCTTAAAGCTTTTCCTTTGGATGTTTTATTGTATGAAGTTCCATTAACTGAGTCAAAGAGGTCGTCGAAGAACGATATAATTTCGGCTGTATTTTTCAAAGTCGAGCTTACTTGCTTTCCATCTGCATAATGAGCTAAAAAAATTAGGCCACATATAGAATTTGTTCAATTCAATTTTAATTTATTTCAAAAAGTTTAAATTTAGCTTTGACTTTCCAGCAAGCTTAAAATATTATGCCAAATTTAGCTTAGGAACTTACAAAACTGAGCAGGATATGATAACGTAGCAGCTACTGTCTTGCTAAACACTCTAGTGCAATTTTTAACCTGAAATATAAATAAAAACAAATTAGAAACTAGTAACAGAAAAATAGCACATTTTTTTACTATTTCACAATGTGAAGAACATACAAAATACATAGATATTTAATAAAATAATAATTACCTTCATCTTTTTAATTTTCTCTGGAATCACATGTTATCATTTAATTTATGTAAAAGCCTCATCTGTGCAAGATTGCAGTCTGTTTTATATACTTCTACAATGTCACTTCCACTTCGAAATCTTTTCATTATATTTTATGTTTTTATTTAGGAAATTATTTCTTAATCCTTTTATTAGATGAGGTGGATCGTGAATTACACTAAGTGTATGGCCATTAATTACAATCACGTCATCTGAAAAATAATTACAATGTAGCTACAAACACCACTCCACAATTTTAATGTAGTTGGTAAGAGATTGCATACAAAAATGGCAAGGCCTACTCACCAATCCTTTCACCTGAAATTATTTGCTTTCGCATTGTGTCCTCTTGAAGGCTCTTCAGGGCAGATTGAAATGCTGTGCCCTGATCACAGACTAGAGCCACTGGTCTGAGTCCTGTGTTACCTACTGCTGTTACCATGTCCTTGATAATATTTTTTAATTCAATTCCTGAAATTGCTCCTTCACAGAAGTAAAAGGCCAGGGGTTGTTGCCACTTGTGAACAACTCCCCGCAACATAAAGACAAGGGCATGGTCAGCAAAATCATTTGTTTTTTTGTTAAGTTCAACAAATCCACTAATTAAATAAAACAAAAAAATAAATGTATTTTGAAGACATGCTTTAAAACTCTAAACATCAACAGCCTACCATTGATGCAACCAGCAGCACAAGTAGAGACTGTAAAAGTAAAGTAAAGTTGCAGCCTATTTACGTCCCACTGCTGGGCACAGGCCTCCTCTCATTTCTGAGAGGGTTTTAGGGCAAGCAAATGTCCGCCGCGCTGCCCCAATGCGTGTTGGCGAACTTCACATGTCTTTGAAATATTTTTTTTCTTATTTCTCAGACATGCAGGTTTCCTCACGATGTTTTCCTTCACCGCCGAGCTACATATTATATTATAGATTATGGAAAAAGTAAGTTTATTAAAAAAAATACAGTGCCTCTGTTTTGATAGCATCAAATATTTGAGAATTGATTCCTACTTCTATATTCAATTTGGCGATCATTTTGTTTATGGTATATTTTGACGGTAAGATAAATATTCTCTGAAGAAATCTATGGCACTTTGGGCTCTGCTTCATTATCGCCATTGCTATCAATTTTTCTTCATCGGAGAATCGCCTGCCCCTGGCTTTTTTAGTACATTTTTTAATCTGCATCCATAAAAACTTTTTAGCAATTGGATTCAATTTTTCTGTGAGCTTTACAAATGACTGTTCTTTTGAAAATTTCACCGCCTTTTTCGCTCGTGTTTTGAAATTAAGCTGCCTCTGTGATCTTCTGTATTGCCTGTAAAGCTTAGCACAATGCGGTGACAGCTTATTTTTCTGTATGATATGCTGTTTTCTCCTTGTTATTGGAGAATGAAGCACATGTTTATCTAAAATTTAAAAAAAGGAAATAAGAAAAAATAAGTTAATTACCTCCTTCAAATACTCAATGTAGCATTTTCTACTGATACATAGATTGTGTGTACAGTTGATGTTTTTACATCATGTAACACATGATTACTAACAATAACTATGGGGCGTCACTAATTCTATCTATATATAGCGAAAGATTTTTTCACATATAAAAAGAAAAAGCATGTAGTGATAAATAACTTACTACATGTACCAAGTGTGAGAAATAAAAAAAATTAGTATTATTATTTTTATAAACAATTTATTGTCAGATATGCAAATGCTAGTGAATACTAATATTTATATTTCTTACCTGCTGTTGGTACTTCAATGATACACTTTCAGATGTAGAAGGTTGTTTGTAGGAATTTATATCTGATTCCGTTTCTGTAATATAACAGATTTGTTCTTTCATTAAAGAATGGAATAGAATAGAATAATTTTTATTCAATATAGATTATTACGTAATACTTATTACAAGTAATTTTTTTATTTACCACTGGTTCAGAAAATACCTCTGTCCTGGGAAGAACCAGCAAGAAGCCCAGCAGGTTCAATATAGATTATTACGTAATACTTATTACAAGTAATTTTTTATTTACCACTGGTTTAGAAAATACCTATGTCCTGGGAAGAACCAGCAAGAAACCCAGCGGGTCTTTTATTTAAACATATTTCACTTTACAATAATTTTGTTTGTGTAATTTTTAAATGAATTTAATAGAATCAGCATGGTGGCGATCACCTCATTCCCATGGGTTAATATCATTTATCATTAAAATCTTTGATATTATAATAACCCTTTTTGTACAACTATTCTGTAATAAAACATTTAAACTTGTTTATTGACAAATTTTGTACATTTTTTGGGATTCTGTTGTAAAAGCATATACATACATTGCTCCATAAATAAATTACTAATTCTGTGGAGTCTTGTAAATGGTATTACAAGCTTATGTTTGTTCCTAGTGTTTAAATTATGAACACCTTTATTCTTATCAAAGCTATTTATGTTTTTATGTACATAAATTACATTTTCATAAATATATTGCGATGTCAAAGTTAATATGTTTATTTATTTAAAATTTTCTCTAAGGGACTCTTTACAATTTTAGTAATAAATCGCCCATACACCACTCTTTTGCAAAACAAATATGGCTTCAATGTCAGTTGCATTACCCCCATAGCAAAATTCCATAAGAATCACACTATGAGTAACTAAAATAAACTAATCTATCTGTCTGTCTTAATATTGGTGAAACTTCTAATTTTTCTTATAGCATATGCTGCAGAACTAAGTCTGCCTGCTAATTTATATATGGGGGTCTCAATGAAGCTTTGCATCAATAGTAATACCAAGAAAAACAGAGGTAGACAAGACTCAACTCTTCCCTATTTAAGAACACATTGGAATTTAAATGTTTAACATTAGGTACTGTAAATTTAACACATTTTGTCTTATTGCCGTTTAAGAGCAAATTTTTGGCATTAAACAAATGTTTCGATAGAGCATTATTAACATTGTCAAAATTAATTGACTGTTGTTTGAGTTTGAATATTAAAGAACTTCGAGAATTAAAAACATTTAAGTTTTCACCAGTATTAAGTAACTTTTTTTACAGCATTATTAGGGAAATTGTTAAAAAGTTGAGATATAGATATAAGGTTCGAAAGAATCTATTATACACCCCAATGAAAAATTCACAGCCCTAAATAAGTAGCACTACAACCAAA